GTATGAACATTGCGTAAGAACATTACACAAGAACACGTCATATGTCCGAGAAAAGTGCATAGAAAGTTCTAGAAGGTACATGCAAATACTGAACAATGGATAGATAAAGATGGTCACATGGACAGACACGTGACCGCTTAGCCACTATATCACAAAAAGCAACTTTTTCGCAAGTGTTGCAGAACTTTTTGGCCACTCAGTATATCAAAATTTTTGTTGTGATTAAGAATGACAGTGAATAATTTAATCTAAAAGGCAAATGGGATATTATCATATAAGATGAATTAAAAAAAAAGAAAATTAATGAAACAGATGAGAGGAAACTAGAATTGTATGAATATGAAAAGAAGGGTAGACAAAGAAGTGGAGCATGATCCATCGTCAAGACAAGAGTAATAATTATTAACTTGAACGAGATGTCGAGAAAAAGGACAGAAATATCTTATGATATTATTGTGGTCAATGTTTCATCGTTATTATCATCATGGTCACTAATATTCTGATTGTTAGCATCAGTATTATTATCTGCCGGGAATGTCTTATTAAAGTCATCATCGAATTCAAGACGTTGTATTAATATTTTTTGACGACTTTCAATTATATTCATTAATAGAGCAGTGTGTAATTTTGAATAATTCATTGGTAAAGAACCTTCTGTATCTTCTTTTTTATCACGATTAAGAAATATATTTTTTTGATTTTCTATAATTTTGTCATAATCTACATATCGGTACATGTGTCTTTGTTAAAATATCAGCATATTGGTCTTTTTTCGTTCTTTATCGATGGTTGCTTGCCAAATAAGTTCCGCTATATGTAACTAATGATAGAATTGAATAATCAAAATCGGATACAACAATGAACTTTAAGATTATTTATTACCTGTTTAATATTTGGTTGTAAATGATAAAATTCATGTACTAAAGAAATATCTTTGGCATTTATCATTAATAAATATCGTTTTTTAATCAATTCTATATTGAGTTGCTGTTGATCGTGTCGTACAAACGTAACAATCAAAGATGTAATTAACCGTATATCAATTTCGGATGATGCTGTTATTACTTGTTTCTCATGTATAGATTCGACTAATTTTTCTCGGATATGTTTGAATTATTGTTCAGAATTTTTCAGTTGTTTATTGATATAACTTTGAATTTTGAAAAAGTTCTTATTTATATTAAAGCGTTTGATTAATATTTGGGGCATTGTAGATAACCAATCGAATACAGATTGTGTCATATTTATATAAGTTTGATATAATTGTAATTCTGTCTTTAATGAATAATATTGTGCAAGTAAAGTAGCATTTTGTCGTATAAATACTAAGAGTGTTGTATCTGTTTCTAACCATTGTTTGATTTGATTTCGAAGAGAAATAGGATCCTGTATTATTAGTAAGAATCGTTCTTTGATATCATCATTTGAGAGATTGTTATAATCAAATTGTAATTTCTCTTCTTGTTCTTCTTTCATCATTATTTGATCTTGAGGTTCACTCAATTTTGTTTTCATATTTTTTTCAAAAGATTCCTGAAAAGAATATCACAAATCATTTTAAGATATGAGGAAGAAAAGAGAAATGAAAAGTAGTCTTACTTGTTCAATTGATGTTGATAATAATGAAGTAATATTTTGTTCTATATAATTTGATATCTTCTTAATGTTATTCATTGATATCTTTGTTTCAATAGGTGAAGAACTGCTATCCATTAAATTAGATGGAATACTTTTAGTTTCATTTATATTCGACATTATCTCTCTCACTATCTATCTAGATAGATAGAAGAATGTATCAATGATCTGTAATGAGAAAAGCAAACAATGAAAAAGCATCAACATATCGATATTTAGATAAAACAAATTAAAAAGCTGATTATAGAAGAATTGGTATAAGAAAAACAAAACAAAGAGAGAAAATTATTCGTTTATATACATATCCTTTCGTTTTTTTTCTGTCATATTTAATATCGCCATTGTCTTTTTACTAAATGATATTTCGATTTTTGTTTATAATTTTGTCGAATAGATGATTGAAGAACTTGATAAGTATTTTCATCAAACAAACAAGTATCTTTCTTGACTACGTGGAATTCAATAAAAAAATTTTCAATTATCTTCTGAATAAGATATGATGAAATCTCATTGTGAAGAAATGATAATTCAATATATAATAGTTCATTTTCAAATTCTTGTTCATTTGAACAATAGAGTATAGCACGAATAACAGAATTACGTAATAATAATAATATCTGAGATTGAGATGGTCTTGTTTGTATTTCTGGCATATAAGGTAATGCATAAGGTTCAAAACTTAAATGATGATATACTCTTGTCTGTAGAATTCTTCCGACATCACAAATTTCAGCATCCAAATATTGTATCTTATAATCCATGGATACAGTCATTCGAATATGATCATATTTTGAATGTGTTAAAGATTTTGTATTCAAAAAAGTAAAAAGTTCATCTTTTGATCCATTCCAAAGAAAAAATATTTGATTGAGATGTCGTCCAAAGACTCTTCTAAAAAATATGTCTCTCTTCTTATTTAATATGCGAAGTAAATCATATTGCCAATAAAATATATAGATATCGATTAATATTCTTATCAATGATGAATCTATTGAACTGCCAATCATTTGTTGGTATAATTTATTTTCATAGACACTAAATTGATTTTCAAGAATAAGTCGAATCAATTGAATAATAGTTGTCGTCAATATTCCATCAATTTTTGTTTTAGAAGTAAAAGAAAAAAAATTTTCTAATGCTTCAATCATTAAATGATGAGGTAAAGTTGTACGAAGATCATGAAGATGAATTGTAACTAAAAATGGCCTTGATAGAAAATAACATGATCAACCATAATTTTTTATCAATGCTTCAACGGCTTCATTTGCTGCGGGAAATCTTTTTAAATGAAATTCTTTTTCGATCAAAGGTTGAAGAAGATTATTGATCGAATGTAAAATACCTTTCATGGGTTCTACTGATGAACATTTTATTACTGGTTGAAGTACAATTTTATTCTAATTGGGAAACAGAACAAGTGAATAAAGAAAAAATAAATAAATAACAAAAACTTACATCACATATTTTTGGGTGTGGGTGTGGGTGTGGGTGTGGGTGTGGGTGTGGGTGTGGGTGTGGGTGTGGGTGTGGGTGTGGGTGTGGGTGTGGGTGTGGGTGGGGGTGGGGTGTGGGT